GCTTTTTTTTTTCAAAGTTCCTTTCCCCTTTTCCTACTTGAGAGGGAGGGTTTTGCAAGATTTCGAGCGCAATTGCGCATCATGTCATTTAAATAAGAAATAGATGGAGATATAAGAGTATCTCCAAGAGACTTCTTATTTTAGACTTCTTATTTGGAGAAATAAGGAGTCATCCTATATCCATTTGCTTCCTATTTTCTATTGTTCTCCAAGAGTCTCCCTATTTTATAATTTGAATATGAACCAGACCCACAAATCTATCTAAAAGTCCACTTGAAGCCCACTTGATATTGTAATTATTAACGATTATAATAGTAATTAACTAATTTTATAATATTCACTAATTTTTTTAATTATTATAATTAGTAATTTATTATTAATTATTTTTTATAATTTTTCCTTTATTAATATAATATTATTTCTTTTTAGATTATTATTATTATTATACTAATTGTTATTATAATTTATTAATTTTTAATCAAATAAATTATTTTTTTGAACAATTTTTATTTTTTAATTTTTTTATTTTAATTATTATTATTAGTAATTATTTATTATTAATTATTTGTTATATTTTTTCATGTATTAATATAATATTATTTCTTTTTAAATTATTATTATTATTATTATTATTATTATTATTATTATTATTATTTGAAATGGGGGGTCGTTTTTCCCTCCCCAGAAATGAGGAAGAGAAGCCTCTATTTGAGGTCACCCTAAAAATAGGACCCAGTTTAGGGAAACTGTTGGAAACAGTTTTTGAGAGAAAATCCCTATTTTTGAGATAAAAAAGAGAAATAAGGAGGCTCTTGGAGATGCTCTAAGGTCTTTAGGGAAATTTGAGGTAATGAGAAGGAATAATTAATTAGGATATGGTAGTAAATTGTAAAATAATAATTGATAATTATAAACTAGAGTGTTTTTTTTTTCTTATGTATATAGATGAAAAAACTATATTTTAAAGTGTAGTGTATAGTTGTAGCGAAATTTCTTGTAATATCAAAGCGTAACATCAAAGTATTAAAAGTGTTTTGTAATTGAAGAGCACGGTTTTGCTATGAAGTCAACAATTGACTTCATAATGACGGTTTGGCTATGAAGTCAACAGTTGGCTCCATAGTAGAGCCAACCTTCTATATACAATAAGTAAACTTACCATATTATCTGATTACTTAAATAACATTAATATAATTTTATTAATATGGTAGGCTTATCTGTGTTATGTTTTTGCTCTTTTGTCCCACATCGGAAGTGGGATGAGAGAGGAGGAGAGTTTTCCCCTATGTAAGAAAGTGCTACTTCTTATGTAAAATCATCCCACAGAGTTATTGTGTTAACAATTAATCTCTGGTTAAAAATCCCTTAGGATGAGAGTTAAGGTTAACGGATAGAAAATTCTGTGGGGTAATTTTGGGTATAAGTGAGTGTAGAAAAATTGTGTAATTTTTACATAGTGGATTTTCTACGGCCTTGTTGCCC